AAAAAGAATTCAATAATGAATAACTAGAAAAGAAGAAAGCCTTAATGAAATTCAAAAGACAGTAACGTACCTTGTGAGCACCTTTATTTTTAAAAATATTGTTATACAATATAATAATATTTATTTATAATTTACTGTTTATAAAATATGGCATCTATAATATGACAAATATGCCAATTTAATAAAAAAAATCTTATGTATATAATGAAAGATTATATTAACGACAAACTGAAGTTTTTCAATAATGCATTCATTTTACAATCTGTTTTAAAGCAATAAAATCATATAAAAAAAATAGTGCCATATTAGAGCACAATCAAGATTTGATGATTTCAAGAAAATATCTAAATCAGTAATTCACAGCATGTGTGAAATACAAATCCGCCTAATGAAATAAATTAACTTATTTTATAAATATGGCTGGAAATATTAGTAGAAAAAAATAATGAACTATAGAAAAATATCCTTAGAAGAAATGAATTAATTAGAACTAAAAATTCCATCGTGAGTAACTTAAATAGTTGTCTTTCAAATATTAGAATGCGATATATCTAAAATGTTATTATAGGAAAAGGGTTTATGATTTGTAAAAAATAGAAATAATAGTCAACGTACTATGTTATGTAAAATAACATTCAACTGATTTGTCGTATTTATCATATATGTATATATATATATATAATTTATATATATATATATATTTAAAAATTGAGATTTTACAAACTAATTATTAGTTTGCAATGTAACTATTTGTGTTATGAATATATTATTAGCCCACTAAGTAATAAGAACTTTTTCACTGACAGATTTAATTTAAGAAATGATGATGACTTGCAATAATAGTTTTCACATAATAATAAAAATAAATTAAATCTTTTTGAAGAAAAAATATTTCAATAATAATTGGAGATTTCCCTGGATAGTCGATCAGAGATATCAGTATATATTTAATAGCATTCAAATATATACATGTTTACTGTTAAATATATATTTAGTAAATAGTAAATATATATATACATGGTGTAATAAATATGTAAAATAATAATATACAGAAAAATCAAGACGTTAATAGTAAGTACTTAAAATTTTTCTATTAGACACCGTATCTGAAAAACTTATTTACACAGATTGTATCAATGCACAGTATAACAATTAAATTTTACAAGTTTTTAGTAAAAATAATTTTCTTAAAATTTTCCACTTAAAATAATTTTTTACATTATTATTGTTAATCCAGTAAATTTTGTACAAATTTTCGCAACATGAAACATTAAAATAAATAAAAAAATTTAATAAAATGTCCCACTGTGCGTTTGCAAGTAATCTAACAAAAATACTTAAAACTCATATACGATTTCGGATATACACATGCTTACAAACGCATACATACACACATACTTATATACAATTTTAAACATTTCGCTGTGTAGTGTGTTTTATGTGTTTTATGTGATTTTTGTGTAGTTCGTGTGATGTTACTGTGTCTTTTGTGTTAAATGGTTTTTATGTTTTTCTGTTTTTTTTAGATATTTTTTTTTTATTAAATTGGAACAGTGTTCATTCGAGTTTCTATGTTCCAAGGACTAAAAATACAACCAAAGTTTAATAATATTGCGCATGAGATTTTAACTGAAATAAAAAAAAAATAAATAAAAAATAAAAAAAATAAAAATAAAAATAAATTGAAGGAAAAATAGTAAACTGAAAGGAAAAATAAAAAATAAATATCTGGAATATTAAGTGAATGCAATCAGCTAAAAATTCATATAAAATTTTGTTTTAAAAACAAAACTAATAATGACTTAAAATACATTTTCCGTAGCTTAATTAATTCCTACTTCATTTTGTGGTATTTTGTGAGTATGAAATTAAATGTTTATACTTTATAATTGGGTATGAATTTTTTTTATATATATATTCTGTTTTTTTTTAAATTAATTTTACTAAAGTTTCATCAAAAGCTGCACTAAAATTATTTCATAATCCAAACTAGTTTATAAAGAAAAAAAACAAAATCATACAAAGTCAAAAATTTCATACAAAATGAAAAGGAACTTTAGAATTATGCAGTTAGTTAATTAGGCTAAGTTAAGAACAATTAAAACAATTAATTAGGAGCATTTAAAACATAACAAAATGTGTATAAATTCTTATATTTTACAAGAACTTCCGTAATACAAAAGTTTCTAGAATTTTCTTTTGCACTTCGTAAATTTTAATGTTAGTTATAGAGTTATAGAGTTCACTTAGAGAAAAATACGAGTAAATATTGTACAATAATAAATTTAAGTATATAGAACAACAGAACAAGAAAACAACAAACAAAAGTAATTAAAAAATATAATTAAAATAAATTATAGTTGAGTTTAGCATAAGCAAAAGGTTTCAACTGAGACATTTTTGCTGTCTTCATATTGCATTTATTAAATTTTATAGATACTTTTTTTAGTTTGGTTAGTTTAGTTAAGGTTTTGCTAAAAGTGTAGGTTTCTTTTTTATATACTGGAGTGCATATTTTCTTTTTTTATATATATCTTTTCTGCACTCTTTCATTTGTGTTATTTTTTTTTTCATATTTTTTATATAAAAAATATAATAGAAATTTTCTCATTATTTAATTGCTTGGAAACTTACCTGTTTTTGTGCCATGGCCTGCATTTGTTGAAACATTTGACGCTCTTCCTCTTTGCCTACATTTTCAAATTATTGCAAAATATATAAAAAATAAAAAAAAAAAATATTAATAACGGCTTTTAGGTTAATTATGGATATGAGTTTAAGTACAAAAGCAATTTATAAAATAGCCAATAATAGTTCAGTAATTTTAGAATTTTATTTAGAAATGTTAAGTGAGAAATCAAAAATACTACTCAGTAATTTAATTGTTATAAAATTGAATTGAACAATCCTGTTCTTAGGTAATTACGAAATTGAACAATCCTGCTTTTAAGTTAGTATAAAATGGAATTGAACAATCCTGTTCTTAAGTTAGAATAAAATAGAATTGAACAATGCTGCTTTTAAGTTAGTATAAAATAGAATTGAACAATCTTATTCTTAGGTAAATTTACCTAAAAAAAGCATAAAACAGCAATGAAGTTGCTTGTGCCAAGAGTATAGATTTCGGTAAAAAAATATTTTTAATAAAAAATGTTATAATTAATAATAATTAACCTACTAACGTTTAAACTTTAACAGGGAACCTATGAATCCATCAAATTATAGAAATTTGTTTATTACTGAATTGATTGAAGTAGAACTACTGTCGAGATAAGCTTCTCCTTTGTAACCGGGTATTGTCAAATAAATAGGGCGCTACTGAAATTTAGAATTCTAATATTTGAACTTTGTAGTCTGAGCTAAAAATATAATATCAAAATTTAGATAAGGACTGTGCGGATATCCTTATTTAGCCGAAAACCGGGTTACACTGTTTGAAAAATAATTTCTCGACATCTGCGCAAATAGAAGGAGAAATATTATCAAGCTCTAATAATGCAAATGCTCAGCCTTAGCTAGATTCTGATAAAATTTTTATAAAAATCCCGAAGATGTATTAGAAATAGATTTTGGGTGTTTAGTAAGAGTTTTCAAATAAAATGAATCGTGCAAATACGGGTTATTAGCTTGCCCACTGTAAGTAAACTAATTGACTTAAAGAAAACGGATTTCTGTAAAATCACTCTCCTCATAACACCGCAGTGCCTAATATACATTCATTTGACAGTTATTGTCAAATGACAACTGCCTAAAGTTGTAGAAAGATTTGTTACACTTCCACTTATTGTGGAGGTGATAAGCTTTAGCAAGCCGTATTACAATTCTTGAGAACTCTTCTGTGAGAATCCTGTAAAACTATCTGAAATCGAAATTGGTTGTTTAAAAATTATGAAAGAAGATAATTTGTTTAGAGTGGTAAAGGTAAAGCTTGTTTTAGAAATGTAGATATCATAACAAAGTTTACTATGTATTATATCTAATTACGAAAAAGAGAGATATTTAATAACAAAAGCCTTAAAAAAATATAAAAGACGTCCCGGATTTTTACATGAAGTCTGCCACAGATTCGGTATTTAAACTTACTTAAGCCAAGTGCATTAACTAATAACAAATTCTTATTTTAATTAAGAAACATATTGCAAGTCATTCATTTTACCTACTCAAAGTCAGGCTCTCCGAAGCCTCTTCAAAGTACCTTGGTACATCCGCACAAACAACATGCTAAGAGACCTTAGAATAGACCCGATCAAAAAATACATAAGAGACAGAGCCCTGAAGTTATATGCGAAAATTGGCAGACTATCCTACTTACCACTATCTAATCTTAGAGTAATCACTCTCCACACGGGGAGGTATGCAGATCTTAGATCAATCACTGAATAATCGTGAAGCTTATAGGCAATATATAAATTAGTCAATGAGATGGGAGGTACCCTGTAATACCCCCAGCTATCAAAGAGTAAAAGTGCCCAGTTTCGCTGACTCGAAAAAATGGATCAACATCATCATTTTACCTATGCTTCAATATGGTTCAGGAGTATGGATGACACACAGTCATCCAAGCACTACACACAGTAGTTGACAAGCACTACCGCATCAGAATGAACCACGAGCTATATGAGAGAAGTAAATGTCAATGGTTTCACTAGATTGGCCATCTTATGACAATGGCACACGATGTTGTAACGAAAAATAGGTTTGAAATGCCAGTGCTAGTGAAAAAAAAGGTATTCCGAATCTCTTGTCGATTGCTAAGGTTGGGAAAAACGTGAAGAAAATAAATGTTTTTAGAAAGATATGCAACTACAAAGAAAATCTGAAATTTGGTTTTAAGGAATTTGGTTTTGTGTGAATACCAGCTTTATTCAGATATAAATAGATTTGCATGTAATTTATTAAAGATATAATACAATGCCAACAAGATTCCCAAACCTATTTTCAAATAAATATTTTTATATATAATTTTAAATAAAATTAATTAATATTAGATAAAATAAATTTAGCTGACTTTATTCAATTTATTCTATTCAATTCTTATTTTAGCTATGGGATATAGTGAACTGATTATTATATAGAAACACTTCTAAATACAACTATTTGCTTAATTTAAACAACCAGATCTATATGGTTTCAGTTTAATTCATTTTATTAAGTTACTTTATAATATTTATATGGTATAGAATCTTCAATTCATTTTTAAGTATGTCAGAGAAATACATGACGTTTTGTATGTAAACAGTTTACAACGGAAAATTGAAATCACCTACAAAAACATAGATTTGTAAGACAATTAATTAAGAAAGTTTTATGATAAAATGTTTTATATATAAAAATTAGACTGGTTTTATTTGGAAACTTAACAGTTAAGATGAGCACAAAAATTATTTCAACGTTGATGTTTAAATTTATTTCAGTTTCATTCTTTCTCTAAAAAAATTCGTGTTATTTTTACTTCAGAGAATCATTGAACGATTTATTCTAAATGTCACCCAACCATTTTGTCACCGAAAACTTCTGTAAATAGCTAAAAATCAGGACTAAACACCTCACGAAACACTTTCAATGAAACATTGAGAATAGAGAGTAGCTTGTCTAATAACTTTCGGATTAACTAATGTTTAATGTCATAGATCTGACTACTTAATGTATCGGATCAATTAATGTTGCTTCTTTCAAAATTTGTACTTCCTTTTTGAAGTACTAGTACAGATACTTTTATTTAGCTGTACAAACTTCTACTGATTGGGTACAAAACTATTAACTTTTGTCTATTAATCTATCTATTATCTATTATTTGATATATAATAACTTAGGTTTTTTACGACTTAGTCCAAATTGTTAATTTAAAAAAAAACAAAATTTTATTGTTACTTTTGTTTTCTATTGTTAGTGATGATATTTGGACTACTGTCAAGGGTCCTCATCTGAATAGTGATGAAGATGACTACTATTAGTTGACAAAAAAAATAAAGATTACCACAGGATTTTAAAACCTTTTTTGTATGAAATCATTACTTACACTATACACTTTATGGGTTAAATAACTGATAATACGAAATATATAGTCTTAAAAGAAGGAGTTGTGTTCTCGGCTCCAGTTTTTTATAATCAAAATTTCGAAATGAACTATAATTTATACTCTTATACATATAATAAAGTTTCCAGTAATACTAATACATAAAAGTAGTAACTAATAAGTGATCCCAAACTTCTGCATAGTGAACGTTAAATAAAATATAATACTACTAGTCAAATGCAATAGAATATGTACAAATTTATTCTACTTATGTAGAAGTAGTATTATATTTATGATAATAATTATGAATAATTCAAACGTCTAATACTTATGTATTAGACGGTGGTGTTTGCCTTAGAATATTGACCGAACTAAATAATAAAACATTGTTTCAAAAAGACTTTCTTAACAACAGAAAATTGTTGGTGAATGGTATCCATAATATACTCTATATACTCTTAATTAAAACATATAAAATATTGTTGAATTAATCAAATAATAAATTCCAAAGTTTATTATGAAGAATAAAACAACTCATTTAACTGAGTAAATTTTTCAATATGATAAAACACTAAAATGTCTGAAATGACATGCTTAGTTATTAGATTTGAAAGTTTATGACAACGAGTATTAAAGTTACAATAAATATGATACACAAAATAAAATCATTTTTTATTTATAATTTTCCTAATATGTAATAATATTAAGTGCTCTGTCATTAATTAAAATTAATGAAAGGCTGAAGAGAGCAGCTCAGACTGATTGGGATAATATAATTGCCTGCAGATAAGCAAGCAAAATTCATACTGAATCAATTAAAAGACAGACCTAGGGAGCTTTAAATGCTGAACAGAAAAGGCATTCGACTTGTCACAGAGCTTCTCACTGGACATTGCGGAGTAGAAAAGCATCTATCGAATCTAGGTATTATAAGAGACGATAGCTGCAGACTTTGTCATGAAGAAGAAGAAACAGCAGAACACTTTGTGCGAGACAATGTGATAGTCTCGGCAAACACAGACTTCGGTACTTAACAACTGCCTATCCACTTATAACGGAATTAGGCAACATCTATCCAAAGGATATAATGGTATTTTTAACTGCTACTCGGCTATGGAAAAAGTAGTAGCCATAATCCAAAGGTTGCAGTGACGTAGTGATAAATTTGTAATCCTTTAAAAATCTAATCTAATCTAGATGCTCTGTCTATTATTAAAATTATTAGTCTACTCTATTTTTTTGAAAGAGAGATTTCATATGAAAAATATTTCTCTTTTTCCTATATAATTGTAATCGTTATCCATTCTTCATAGATTAAAAGTATGCAAATACAAGGGGAAAAATAATTTTCACCCCTTTAAGATATGCAATAAAAGGTTGATTATTACCAGTGAAGAAAACTGTTTTATTAAACCATCGAAAATCCTTTAGGAATTAGACAATAACTAGTCCATTCAATATGGATAATTTTCAGAAGCAATTACTTACCCATTCCTTTTGTTTGAAGCATTTCTAGTAATTTCTTAATACTTTCATCTCGTGCGATTAAAGTTTGTTTTTGTGTCTCAACACGACACTCTAAGTCCTTAATTGTTTCCCTTAAAATGCTAATTTCACGTTGTAAATGATCATTTTCAGCATAAATCGCTTCCATTTGCTGTTGCATTTCTAGATTCGGTTGTCGCATACGCAAACGCAATTCTTCCTCTAACTGACGTACTAGCATTGCTTGTTTCTGGAATAGAAAGTAAAGGAGTGTTGAAATATATTGCAATTTATTTTAGATTTAATTTTATTAATCTCACCTGATTTTCTGTACTCAAAAGCTTTAGCTGATCATTGATGAGACTATATTTAGCGCTCTCCTCTTTGCGCAAAGCACGTTCCTTTTTCAGTTCAGGAGACCAGAAGGTTTTAATACTATGCATGGAACTACCTAATTTTTGATTTGTTAATTCAAGCTCACGTTTAAGTTGTCCCAGTTCACGTTGTAAATCCGTATTTTGATGTTGTAAATCCCCGAGATAGGCACGATCCGTCGATGGTAAACCTGTATTATAACCTGAGAATACATATGTTATGATTAGTAAGGGGTTTTGATTTAGAACTTAAATAAAAAAAATAAATATGTGTGGTGAAAGCTACATTAAAGGAATAGTATCATATACGAATACACCTCTTAACCGTGCAATATAAGTGGATGTTAGTTTTCATTCTTCATACAAAGTATATTCTTTTAAATAAACCGTTCTTCAACTATATTTTTAGTTGCATCGGTGTCTATTTATGTTACGAGAGCTTTTAACGCATTTGCAATTATAATAGATTTATTTAACAAATATTTTTATGGAGTATTTTTGGTATATACTCCTTCCTCCTCCGTTAATAATTTTTATCTTACATAAGATTATACATCAATTATTTTCAAATATTTAATAGTTTTCTTAATATTTTATCATATATGCTTGGAGAATGAAGAAGTAGATATTACTACTTTTTCATCGAATTTGATGATATTAAAAAAAAAATAATAAGAATATAATTAATGTATTTTTCTTTACCTATGGGATTTGGACTTTGTCGAGCTGAACGCCCATACAATTCATCTTCTAAGTATAACCCTCTTTCAAGTGATCTATCACGCGAACGATCGCGAGGTTCACGTATTGGTATGAACTCGCGATCGTGAGGATCAACCAAGCCACCTCGATCAAGTGATTGATAACGTGTTCCTAAATGATTGTTAAAGTGTTATATTAAAAAATTATTTATTTAAATATTATAAGCATAAAAATTTATATAAAAATAAAATAATAATAGTATATATCATAAACAAATATTTTTAAAAAAATGTCTTTAAATTTTTTATGATCAATTTTAGTATTTTTATCACTTTTTTATATATCATTTATCTTTATATCATATTGTTGTCATTTCTTTTTTATTTATAATTTTTCTAAAATTATAACTATTTAGAATCTTATAGTTATTATTGAATATTTTATTATTTATTATTTTTACTTATTAAATTATATTTTTATTTCATATTTATAATAATAAACAAATTAATTACTTGGATAATCCATTGCGTGTGACATCGGTGGTCTGCTTGCGCTACGGCTCCGATGATGTCCCGCCCCGGCGGGACTTGTTGGCTCATCCATGTCTCTATAGTATGGACTGCCCATTGCTGTAATTCACATAATTTATGACGATGATAACATGAGGATGAGGGTTTGGGTATAAGAATAAAATAGTGCATGGGGAGTTTTTTGGAATTGCTAGACGTGTTAAGCGTTAACTTGTCGCTTTCAAAATATTAAAAACAAAACAAAAAAAAATTTAAAAACAAAAAAAATTAATGTGAACTTAAATCAAAAAGTTTCTATTTGAATGAACAAATAACAACAACAAAAAATTTATAAATTGTTGACTAAACACAAACTAAAAGTGTATAATTTAGTGAAAATGTGTTATGGTTTTTGTGTACTTCTTGTGTACTTTTTGTGTTGATGTGGTGCAGAAGTCTATATTTTTAGTGTTTAATGTGCACATAAAAAGCCCATAAAATTCATTGAACACGTCAGCCAATTTACATGAAGTCAAGTCCGTCAACCGTCACCCTAGAAAAATGACTCTTTTATGAAATGGCGAAAAAGGATTACAAGTTTTATTAACACTCGAATCGCACGAGTATTTGGCTTTACTTTAATCCTTCCTAAAATCTACATTTTTAATTTAATATACATTTTCCTATTTATTTTTTACAAATGGGTGCCATTAGTTTTCTAATAGTCATGATTTTTGCCCATTTACTTGACTATTATTTTGTTTGCTTTTATTTTTAGTTGTGCAAGTTTGGCGATGGAGAAGGAGGAATGAGCATGGACTTTACAGAGATCCTTGTTAAATATTAATAAAGAGGTTTTTTTTGTGAATGTGGCGGAAATTTAAATTTATTTTTATGCTTTTTGTTAAAATTAGATAATATCAAATTACTCGGAGTATTATTACAGATACTATAAATATTAAATAAAATAAAAATTTTGGAAAGGCGAAAAGTTTAATTAATTTCCTAAAAATATTGAATAACAGTCTATGAAGAGCCATGACCTACCTTAATCTGTATCTAACGTTATTTAAGATTTAAGATACGAAAATTGTGTGTAATAAACAAGAAGTACCTTTCAAAGGCTTTGATGTCAAATTGTAAATTGCAGTACTTTGCATGCTGTGAAATTGTGTATAATATACGTATATACGACTATACATACACACAACTGGATTGGTGTATACTCAGAAGACAAAATTTGTATAATTAAAGTCTGACCAGAGAAATTTAAATTGTTTTATAATGTAATTTGTCACTATGGATATAATGTATAAAGCCTATTTGAACATCATCTTCCTTGAAGTAAGCCACCACACGGCACAGTGTGTCAAAATGAAAATCAGACAATCAAAATTCAGATTTTTTTAGTCAGTTTAGGTATTAAAATGAAGTATTCCTAAAATATAGTTTTTGAGATGGACTTTCTAAGAAATTGATCGTCTAATTTATTTTGACACACTCTGCACCGGTTTATATGTACAATACAAGTTAGTTAGTTGTTATTAGATAGATTAGATTAGGACATTAGATGGATGTTGTGAAAGCTTCTATTTATGTGTAATGACAGAACTTGAAAATGTTATAGCTTACAGTTAGTGGCAACTGTAGAGAACTAAAGATGAAGAAGGAGAACTATTAAGCTCTATGTGCTATTTGGAAAAAGGTACCAAATAGTTCTTAAGACGAGTAATATTTTATATATCAAAAAATCTTGCATCAAAAAGCCAGGTGTTATTTGCGTTAGCGACTTCGCTAAGACTAATGAAAAACCATTGAATGATAACTAGACATTATTCACAGAAAGTCATTTAGATATCAGAAAATAATTTACTTTATATACGGAAAAAATATAAAGTTGACTATAAAAGGAGTTCTCTGAATTTGTAAATTAAAGCAATTTCCTAAAATTTATGGAATCATAATCCGTATCTTAGCAATGAATTTCAGTACTGATTCTTTAAACTTTCACACCTTTCTTCTGTCAACACAGCATCAAAGTATAAAAAAGTGGCACTTAGTGTCATTTGTAAAACTTTTTTGATTTTAAAATATAATCTTGGATTAATATAGATGAGAATTGAATATAAGTAAGTATGTGAGATAGTGGGAAGTTAGCAAGCTATTCTTATTTAAATTAATTGAGTTTTTTGAGTATCTAATCTCTCGTAAAAACGAGATAGTAAATAAGTTAAAGAAATTAACTGCAGAGGCTTTTTAGTTTCTTAATTTCTTGCAAACATAAAAATAAGAAACTAAATTTTAATTAAATAGTAAAAAATGTACCATTCAGATACTTTTTTAGTATCACTCCGAACTGCATTTAAGCATAAAATGCATAAAAAATACTTTATTATTAGTCGTTGCAGATAATTTCAATAAGAAATTTTAATAGTTAAGTTTAGAATTTCAGGAAGTCACTGTCAATTGTCAACAATTTTGAATACAATATGAATTTAACGTAATAATAATATATTTAATCAAATTTGCACCATTTCGTCCTTATTAATAATATATCTTCTTAAAATCTATTTTATTACATTTAAAAATATTTAAGAAAAATAATCAATAATGTAAGGATATATGCTATAGTCACACTTAATAGTTTTGTTCTAGTCTAATGTAGAGCTGCATGAGTGTAGCTATTTTTAATACTATTTGATGTTAATTGGATATATTTATCTATAATTTCTTGATTATAATTATATCTTTTAATAAAGATACTTTATTAAAAAAACAAACCAAAGAGTATGTTCATGGTCTATTGAAATATATGTACCATTTATTTCATCCAATTCATATATTTCTTAAATACTCATTTCTATATATGCTAATGACAATATGAAACCTATATATTTACTTATACATATATATTCATATAAAACATTTATGTGAGAGACCGACCTATAATGCCATATGCTTATAGGTTGATGAATCTATTAATTAATTAGGACACTTTTGTATGAAACTCTTATTTAAGAATTATTTAAAATAATATTTATAACATTTGTTTTAGTCAAATGAAATAATGCATATATATTATACGATATATATACGATTCTTGAATTCTATATATATCAAATTTCTTAACTTTCTAGATATATTATATATTATATTTCCTTAATATTGTGTAAATATAAAATCCATGGATTAATACAATGTAAGGACAATGAGTTGTCTTTATTTCTCAATATAACATATAATCTTTCAGATTTCACTAAGCAGAAGTAAGATCAGTAGATAAAAATATTGAAAGTATAGAATTTTCTTTTAATGAAAAATATATTTGCCATCCATTTTTCAGTCATGTGAACAGATCTATTATTTGCACATATTGTGTATGTAGATAATAGATAGAAATGATTGTCAACTTACTAGCATTTAGCATTTGACATATGTTAGGTTAGGTTGGAAATAATGGCCCGCCGTAGTACCACAGGAATGTCGTTAGTTCATACATAGACTAAAAAGCATATGACCAACGCCAAAAGGGAACGACTCCCCCATTCGGTAAAGGTTAACCTTTATATAAATTTATATACATAACCTTTATATATATTTGTATACGTAGACCCATAAATGAAATACCCATTTTAAAATTCTGGACAGTAATAGTTGCTTACAAATCTTACTCAGTGTGAAATAAGTCAGAATGTGTGGTTACTAATAAGATGATTGGGGAACAAGTATTAGGTATGGTCCCGTTATATTTTATAGATTTTATAGATATAAAAAAATTTCTCTTTTAAGTACTTTTTTAGATTAGTTATAAATCTGATAAAAAGAATCCACTTAGATCTACTAATCAATGGTTGTACCCCACAAGGATCTATAAAACAGATAACATGAAAGGAATTACAAAGACTTATAACTGGGTTTGAATGTGGATAGGTAATGGTAGTGGTAGGTTTTTTTAGGAGTAAGAATGGATTAAATTTCTGTGAAATTTAAATTAAAGTCAACCTAAATGTTGGTGGTAAAATTTATCCACTTCTAGTGATTGGATACAAAGGTCGATTGGACTCAAATTTGTGTTTGTGAATATGTAATGGCAGTATGAGAGGACAGCGGATTTTTTCGGAGTAAGTATGGATTGGGTGAAACTAAAATTAAGGTTGACCTGGATGATGGTGGAAAAATCTATTCACTTCTAGAGATTGGATCCAGAGATCGATTAGACTCAAATTTGTGCGTAAATTGTAGCAGGAAAATACATAGATGATAACATGAGGAGAAGAACAGGAAGAACATCGCAAATTGATGCGTATTTATGCGTTACAATGAACAGTTTAGCACATGGCTATATTCTGATCTCAATTGAACTAGAACACTTCCTGCTGCACAGAAAAAGCATCGTTTTTTTCTGAGAGATCTGACTTACACAAGGACCTACTGAGAACTTTGTTGCAGTGTAACTGTGATCTCAAAGAGGATGCAGTAGTTTCATTTTTTTTTTATTTTTTTTAAATTATTGTGGTGCGTTTGTACAATACAAGCAGTTGTAGCTTTTGAAGGATACCATATTTATTTAATTATACACTGTGAGTAAATTCCTTTCGTTAAATGCAATAAATGATATAATTACTTTCGAATCACATCCTTTAATTCTCAATTTCAATTAAAAATTTAAATTTTTATATAAAATTCTTTAAATCACTTAAGCTTGCACTGGGATTTTACTTTCTTAATAAAAATCTTTATCTTTTAATATTTAGAATTGTATCTCAAATATTGTCAAATATTATTTTCACTCAACTGACTCCTAGAATATCTGCTTAGAAACTGGTTAAATCACTCTTAAGTGACATCTAGCAATGTTCACGATTGTTTAACTACACTGTTAAATCGACTGTTCTGGCAACTGTAGCATTTATCCTTACGCTTCATGATGTTTTATGATATTTGATGATGTTTCTACTCCTAATTCCATTTATTTTACCATAATTGTAATCCAGTTTGCTGCTTTAATAAGTCACTCCACAAATGTTAAAAATATAAAAATACGCTCCACTAAGCGCTTTAATTAGTTTACGTGCTCGTCTAAACTCAATCTGATGTTTCATTTGATTGTGAGTTGCG